TATTTACATTGCTGAAAAGAATGTAATTGATAACAATTATCATAACATTTTTCTTTGTCTACTTTTTTTTATTAAGGCATAAAGCCAATCTAAAGTACAAACAGTTCAAGTCCAAGAGTTTACAATTGCATTCAGCCCAATAAAGCCTGTAAAATGAAATAAGAATGTTAGCATGATCTCCATGTGTTGCTACGTGGCTTATCCTACTCGTGAAACAAAGATCGAGATTTCCACCGAACTCTTGCCGGTCAGACGTCTCTATTGTCGTTCTCCAATCCCGTTTTGCTTTATAATATTATATTAAAAAGAAAAAAATCATTTATCACATCAAAAAAATATCTATTTCTTTCTTACCTCTATTTCTCCTCTCTTCTTCCCCATTGCTATTTTGTTCTTCTAATTCTATCTTGTTGTAACAAACGAATAAGCTACTCAAGGCTTATCAGAAAGATTGAGAATATGGATTGGAGAGAAGTTACTTTTATATTTGAAGCTTAATACTACTACAGAAACAAAAGAAAATACCTAATCAAAATTTTGTTTTATCAAAACAATTATAAGAAATTTTTTTTAAGTAAATCATAAACTAATATATACAATAATTCCAATGTACAAAAATCTTATTCAAAATGTAATCAAATAAGAATAAAACAGTAACCAATTATACACTAAGAACTAACAATAACATTTGCTTAAATATCTTAATTGAATTGAATAAAGTGATTTGTTTGATATTCGTGAGTATGTACTAGATCAGAGACATGCACGACATCGCGGATTTCTGTTATAACATAAATTAAAACATACCTTTTAATCAATTAGCTATATAGTATTCTATAGTTTTATTTTCATATACAATTTTTTATATGAAATCCTTCTGATTTGTTTGAAAAGAATGACCCAACAAAAAAACAGATATAAATATAAGTAGACATTCGACATAACAGATTTTGTTAATTTTATGTCCATCATTTAACAGTTTTTTCACTAGAAACAACAAATAAACGTTTGCATATACGAATCCTTTTTTTTTTGTTTCTGACAGATTCGCATGACCATGCAGATTATTTGTTGTATCAAGCATATAAACTGTTTCAATAGATTTTAAAGCACATAAATATTTTTTTAAAATATAACTTAGAAAATTAAAAATGTTTTAATATTTTTATTTGAGTGTATTTGAAAATTTTTATATACATTTATATTATTAAATAAAAAATGTATAATTTTTTATTTAATTTTTAAGTATTTCAACTATTTCGTGATGCTTAAAAAAAAACTATTTTCGTTATGAATTTCTAAAAAAAACTCTGTAATTTATTATTTTAACTGTATGATATATTTTGATAATTTTTAATTATAAAATTGATTTGATGTCAATTAATTGTATTTTATTTATAACTTAATATAAAAATTAATTAAATTGTAATGAATGTTATTTTATGGAAAAATAAATAATAATCCATTAATTTAATTAATTTGATATTAATTGAAATTATTTTGTACTATCTTTATCATCTTATTTTGTACTATCTAAACTTGCAAAATAAGTTATACTTATTTTTAATTTTTCCATAAATTATTGAGAAATTAGGTTCTCTGCACACAACAAACATCATAATTAGGTAAATGCCTTTTCACTATTTATATTTTATAAATTCCAAGCTTGCCCTTATTTTTTGATTCTCTTTCCTCTTTTCCCAGCTATTTTTTTCTTTTTTTTTCACCCTCTTCTTCCTCGCCGTCCTCCTCCCCCCTCCTTCTCCTTCTCCTCCTCCT